TAATCTAGGAGAAATGTAGAGGAAGGATGGGCAAATGAGAAAGAAAATCAAGAGGGGGAAGTACTTACAGTTTAGATATCTTCAAGACGAGTGGTCGGGGGAATAAGAATAGGTGCTCAAAAAATTGAAGAAGGGTGCTCAAGAGTTGATTGCTGAGAGGAAGTTCGAAGATGCAAAGCCTGCAAATGGCCAAATGATCTCCTATTTATACCCTACAATAGGAGCGGGAATCAAGGAGGCATTTCATCATTTGAAAATTTGAAAAGGGCGGTGCCATACGTGCAAATAACCGCCCCTATAAATTAGGCGTGTTTGGTAAGTCTCCACTCTTCTCGCACCACCTGTCCCACATTGCAAGGAAAATGAAGGCTGGGATAGTTGACGGGACTTTAGGCGGCTCAGCAATCCCCAAATCGACACATGGAAAGATGTAGCTATTATGAAACTTAAAAAGGCACTGAGAAGTGACACCGAGGAATAATAGCATGGAGGAGCCAAGTAGATATACTAGCACCAACATTTAAGAAGACTTGACAGCTCATTAATGGAGATGTAAGTGAATATTGCAGGACCATTAATGATCCCCTATATCCTTGAGACCCAAACTGACAGTCATGATTGCAAAGCATTAATGGCCATGGTACTGAGCGTATCTCCTCGGTGTATCACGGGGTACTATTCCCCAAGCATTAGAGGCCCGGGAGTAGGTGTCAAGCGTCAATCAAAGGACTTAAACGACCAGGGATAGGGCCATAAGTGCTCGGTATGTCCCGAGCAGTCATTTTATCGCTCGACTAAACTTGGCACGATGATCTGAGTGGAGAACACTCATTACGCGTGGATAAGAGTGCAAGTTATTAAATGTCGAGATGTCCTTGCACTTATTGTTAATCCAGGTATAAATACTCCTTAGAAAAATAAACAAAAGTACGCAAACTAAACTAAGAAAAGAGACATTGTGTTAAGGCCCCCAAACTTCTGCTGACTTAAGCTTCAAAGGGGATAAGTCGAGTATTCACCTGGCCTCTTTTCTGACCTTGTGGTTGTTTTAGGTTCATCGTCGAGAGGATTGTTATCTGTATTCATTGCATGAACTCTTTCGTGCATTTATGAAATATTTTTATTTCTTAAGTGATTAAAATAATATAAGGAAACGAAATTTTAATTATTGTTAACAACTTAAGTCATTGGTGAAAAGAAAGGAAACAATCAACCAACCTCAAGGCTGGGCATAATATCCTAACAAGATGCTCATTTCGTAGGGGCTCAACCTAATCTGGGTGGGCTCATCACCCTTTCCACCCATGGATAAGCACCAAGTTTATCTTTCCTCAAAGTAGGTTTGTCAATGGTAAAACGGATTCATCTTGAATTTTAACGGGTTGTGTCAAAATATATTTTACTTTTATTCAATTCGCTTATTAATTTTTATCTATTGAGTTGTGTTTTATTGTGTTCATATCATATATGAATCGTATATAATCGATATATAAGTGAGTCATATTGTATATTTTTTTATTAGTTTCAATCATATTCAATTTATTTATTAATCGTGTCGAGTCCACTCATTTGTGAAGTGAATGTCTTAAAGAATACTCAAACCTTTTAATTTCACGTCGTGTTCGTATCATGTTAAGAAGTCATGTCATATTTTGACACTCCTACTTGAAAAGCGAGTATGAATTCTGTAGTCTTAGCGTAGATTATCTGTCTTTGACCAAATTAGAGAAAGAATTAGTCGAGGTGCACATTAGTTGACCCGAATGCTCATGAGTCATAACTTATAATACCAAAAAAAATAAAATAGACTATATATGTGTTTATTCCTCAAGTTTTACAAAGTGTACTAAAAATCCATGTTATGAACATTTATAACCACATATATGTGGGTACACTCTTAAATTGATATTGATGCATTCCTTCACATAATAATATTTTTTGGATCAAATTTAATTGGTTATTGGATTGACAATAAACATTATCCAATACTAGACGTGAGCATTTCAAAAAATTTCTCGAATTTTGTTTTTCCATATTTTTGAAAATGGTTGGAATGGTGAATTCAATTAACTTTTTCTAATAGAAGCCATTCATCTACAATGGGAAAGTTTCTATATAGGAAAAATGTGTTATGAATTAAATCTTAAGATGGTAGAAATATTAAAACCTAAACGGCAATATGACTTCAAAAAATTTTCATTCAGTTTATGTACAATCACTGTGAAATACAGAATCTAAACAGAGGGAATGAATCTACAAAAAATGTTCTTTTCAATCAAGTACTGAAAATGTAGGTGAATCTCCAACTATTTACAATATACCAAACAGTTGACACTCTTTAATTCTACCTTTTTCTCACATTTCCTCCAAAAAGCCTTAATTTAAGTTTTTGATAAATATTACACTTATTTTTTTGTGACCGAAAACCACGAACGAGATTTGGATCCACAGTTATGATGTAAACTTGGTACTTGTAGTTATAATGTGCAGGTGGGGAGTTAAATGAGTTCATACACGTCACTGCCAAAGGGACCCAAGAGGAGGGTGTGAAGAATGGAGGAGGAGAGGAAGGAAGAGAGGAGAGAGAAAGAGAGGCAACCTCCTCAAGACATAGAGCCTAAGGGTTTACATCCATCCAAAAAACCCATGTTCTTGTGAGAATATAAGGGTATTTATAGTGTGGCCTAGGCACATGCAGTGCAAGCTAATAAATTGGTAACAAATGTCTCAAATATTAATTAGGTAGTGGAACACACCCGACAACAAGACCCTACCACCGAAATCCTTTCCTCGAGACCTTGATGTTGGAACCTAGTCTCAGGACTCTGATTATATTTGCTCAAGGTCTGTTCCACAATCCTGTTTATCTTGACATACATATCCCAATTTCTCTTTTCTCATTCTTTCCTCAGATTATACTGTTTAGCTAGGAAAATATATAAGTGGACCCTAATTATAGTGAGACCCTACACGGTGGCTCTATCACGTGCTTGGCATGGTGATACAGTGGGTTCTACGTGACATTTTTCTCAAGCTAAAACTCCCTCTTGGCCCACCAAACCATTACCTCCTTAGAGTACCCCGAGATGACTTATCAACATGGTCATCTATGTGACAGTGTTACAACTTTCACTGTCTACATTAGCCCCCTGTCTGATAGAAGCATTTAGACCAACCTCTTCTATCAGACACAATACAAAGTGTTGGATAATTTTCAATCTATCGAACCAATCCCCAGAAGATAATGGTCTTTCGAGATGCTTTTGGATCGTAAGTGAAACTTGAATAATCTTCAACAATGAACCTCCATAGTTAGGAAGATGGCAATAGTCAAGTGATTGCGCCTCCTAGAATGCAAAGTTTTTTTGGATGAAAGCATCTCGTATATGTAAGATAGTGCTCCAAGAATACCAGTGACTGAGTCCATTCTTGCTACACTGGGCATATGGATATATAAGCAAGTTTGTCCCTATAGTGATGCACTAATTGTTAATAGGCAAGATAGTTGCTGAGAATGTGTCCCCTCTCGCATAATGATAGAAGCATAAATAAAGTGACCTCTGCACAATTAAAGTATAGAGTCACCATCGCACATGTGAACGAATTGAATTCAGCAGATATAGAATAACATCTGCATGTATAGGGTAAGTCCTAGCGCACCTTTGAGGTTGACCATGGACAAGTTGGAATATGCCTCCAGATTATATAAAATATGCCTCTAGATTATCACCATATTAAAGTGCCGATGTAAGACTTATGAAAAACCAGCCCCTGAATAGGGTAGTAGAGTCTATATTACCTTGAGTTTGAGGTGAGCCCATACAAGTAATGCTAGTATCCGTAGAAACAAATGGACTCTTGTTGAAAAATACTAATATGAGGATGATCAAGAAATCCCATTTGTTAATCTGGACTATTGACTCTGTGTAAGAACCTCTCCGAATCCCAATTAGGTCAAACTTAATGGGCAGCGAGTCATACACTAGGAGGCCTATTCCAGCAAATTAAGCCTTCGAATCCTTGTCTCGGGCCCAGACTGATAATCGTGCTCATTTTATATGTTAATCCAAACCATTGACCCCTTTATTAGAGTCTCCCAAGATCCCAGTTAGGTCTAACCCAATGGGCAAAAAGCCAGACATTAGGTGGCCTGCTACAGCAGATTAGGCCTTTGAAGCCCTGTACTTCGGGCTGAGACTGACAATGATGCTTTTTTTGCAATGCTCTATGTTAAGGTCAGCTTAGCAACGGTGTACCATTTTACCTCTGAGGGTATCTGATTACCATTTACCATTGCCACGGCGGGGGAGACGGACTAGCTAGGTCATGCCAAGATTACCCCCAAATGTTTGCGGTGCCACTCTTGCCCTTTTGGACAAGAATCTATTTACCATTTTCACAACGATATGCTCGTGGTGCCACTCTTGCACTTTTGGACAAAGATCAATTTACCATTTCCACGATGATATGCTTGTGGTGCCACTCTCGTCTTTTGAATGAGGCTCCATTTGTACATCTGCAATGAAGGACAAACTATGTGTCACAGCGTTCTCCTCAATGCTCGTAACGTCATTCTTGCCTTGTAGATAAGGCTCCAATAATGTGAGAAAAGGAATGAATTTTCCACATTAGGCTGGAATGAATTTTCCACATTAGGTTACCTCATTGAATCCAACAATATGCAAGCTAATAAGATATTATGAGCCATTATGTTTGCCCCCCTCCCCGGGGCACCATTTGGTTATGATGGAGAAGCCATGGTTATATCATTTTTGACATTGCCTTGATATGATGTTTGAGAATACCATTTTTGAAGTAGGATGGCAGAGCTTGCTTTAGTTGAACCGTGACCATTATTTGGCGAGTGACCTGTTTTTCAGGGTATATAGATGGTCCAAGGGGCTACCATATATTTTTTAGTGAGGTTGTCTCAAGTCCGATAGCGTTTCCTAATTATTAGGGAACTATGCATCCATTTGATGTGCTTGCGAATATAACTTCTAGTATTCCGTGGAACCCCTCGCTAGAGATAAGGCCTCTAAAAATATGGCAAGAAATGAGATGTGCATAGCTGTCGCACTTGAGAAAAGAAGCAACTGGGGTACATGATTAGCCAGTAGCAAAGCTATCATCCTTTTGCCAAAACCCCATTAGAGATTATGCTCCAAGAAAATATCTGAGCTAATGTGGAGACCTTTTTTAGTTTGATATGTGCATTCATACAGTTGCTCGAGGAAACCTTCATAAGTGCCATGAAGAGGCAAAGTTCCATTGCGAAGATAATCCCCTGCCTCAGCTCTCGAATTCATAGAGCAACGTCCTGATGTAGCAACGTGGAGAATAATAACAATTGGGTGCCCCTTAAGTATTGAAGTTCCTATTGTGAAATAGGAAAGTATAATTGGATGCATGCACTGCTCATGCGTCTGTGACCCATTATAAGTTCAATACCTTGCTCCATGTTAGCACTCCAGGATATATGCTCACCATATCAGTTGTGGCTTCACTACCAATTTATGAACTAGAAACCACTCCAAGTTAGTCTGCCTTGCGATGAACGTTAACAAGTCTCGTAATAAGGGACACTTTCATAGATTTTCATAATATAAGTTTTGCATTGCCCTAGAATGTTGAAGCTGGGGATATGCTATAAAAGAGAATGGCTTATTTGAAACCATCCCGACACGGCGACAAGGGGTTGCCGCGAACAGTGGAGATCATTATGACCCTTTTATTATGCCTTCAATCTTTGAGGCAATTCCATTAGAATTGAACTTTCGTTGGGTGATGGAAAGAAACACCTATGTCGAGCTTTTGTCAGGATCGTCTTGGTGTGGGTTTACCTCACGGTGACCATTGATGGGTCTCACAGCCAAAGAAGCTCTCACTCCTTGCAAGTGTATTAACTTGCTCCATAATGATGCATTCGAAGATAAACTTTCAACATGTTAACTGCACAACATATGGCCTAAAAGGAATCATATAATAAATGTAGAGGAATTTAAAAATAATAATAATTTGATTCCTCATACTAAGATCTATTCATATTTAATATAAATTGAGAAACCTTAGATCTATAGAAAAGATTAAGGATTACCACTTGAAGCGTGCCTTTAACGATATTCAAGTATTCTCAAAACTTTAAAATTTAAATCTGAATTTGATCTTTACCCTGAGCCTCGCAAATGTTTCGCCTCTATCCGTATCCACATGAATTAATAAACTTGAAGGATCTATCTCAATCATTGATAAACTAACAGAGAGAGAATGAGGGGCAATTTTTCTTATGCTAGCAAGAGAGTTGTTATATCATATATCCACCTCCTACATAAAGGTATTTATAGAGCTTTAAAGACTCTAATCCTAGTTAGGGTCAAGTTGAAATTATCTCATAATTACATATAACCCTTTTATTAATCATTAATTATAATAAAGTCCCTAATTAACTATTAATTAGGTTTTCACCCCACTTAACTCTTAATTGGTTGTCTCTCATTTATCCTTTAGTTTTTAATCAATTCTATTGTGTGTGACCCTATAGGTTCAGGCATACCCGATTGTAGGCATTCAATACTAACTACAAGTAGCATTTCAAATTAGAACTCATTCTTCGAGCTTCTACTAATCATGAGTGACACCTAACAGCATATCATAATCAACCTCTAGATAGCACGAAGTAGTTAAAGAACTCATTCAGTCTACAGTTACCATGCAATTTAATCCTTCTATCATACAATGCCCCAATTGAATTACTAAGGTATGGAATTACTGTCAAACCTCTAACTTAATTTTATGTGTTTGATCTTAGGACTATAACTCTTAATGATCAATTAGAAACCATTTTTCTAATTATCATTCTGCCTTGGCCAAGGATTCCTTGAGTCATATTCTAGAATATCACATAGGACATTCTCCCTTTTATTTACTAAGGTTGATAGATTCCATGTTGTACACCTATAAGTCTCCATGAATGCCTAACTATGTCCAACAATACATATCTAAGTTACAAGGTTATTATATGAATATGTTGCATAGTTAAAGCATAGAAGTCCATGCATATGACAACCATGGTATCTCAAGTCTAAGGATCAGTTGCATAACTGTAACTTCAGGATTAACATTAAAAGGTATATAAAACTACATATGAAAAATTCTACATTAATCAATGGTCATGTTCAATGTACTTGTTCTTTAGCAAGAATCCACACACTTTCTTTAGTGTCCCTACACTAGTAACTTGGACGAGTTAGTTTATGCTAGTCTATCCGGATTACATAGTGCCTACATAATAATCCTATGACTAGGAATATTTAAGAGCTAAGTACTTAGAAGTATTGGTCTCCTCTTCTCAACTCCTTGAAATACTATATTCTTAACTTATACTCTATGGGCTATATCATGTATATTAAAATAAAATTAAGCAAAAATATGATAAATAAACTTACCCTTTTATTTAATTAAGTAATGAATGATACTAGTACAACCCCAAAATATCATCTATATAATCGATCTTAGAGCATACTACTAACATGGCCTTGGCCTTTTAATTTTCTTCACCAAGTACCCTGCAGACAATGGCAAGATAGGCCAATCAATTCAAGGGAGGCAGGTTATATGCTGCTCATGTCACTCCTCAAGCATTTTTTTTCTTTTCACATAAGTCTGCTTCGTGGTGATCGTTGATAGGTCTCGCGGCCATAAACATATTCGAAATAGCTTCCTTACCTGAAGTGAGCACAAAAAATGTCGAAGAGGATCCTCTTAACATTCAAATTATCATAAGTGTTGTTGCAAGCCAGTTGTGGCAGCCATCATTTGTAAGAAACCCAAGTGCGCAAAAGTTTGATTCGGTTGTTGGCAATGGTACATGACATGTATCGTAGCCCTGTGTCAAATTGGGTTCGAGAATTTTCTTGCGAGTGGCCACAAAATGAGCTTGCAGGAATGGAGTGTGCCCATAAGAGCATCTCCAACAGATGCTTCAAATGCCCAAAATAGGCAAATTTTAGCTAACCAAAGCCAAAAACAATACTCCAACAAATTATGTTCATATGCTGTAAAATAGAATTTTTCTACAGTGATGCTCTAAATATACAAACATCACTGTAGCAATATGTAAACATAATATGTATTATTTTCTCTCGCTTCCTCTCATTTATTCCATTCTCTCTCTTTCTCTCTTTCATTATTCCCAAAAAATATAATACAAAAAGGGATGATAAATAATATTTAAAAAGAGTAGTTAAAAATATAGAGAATCTGTTGGAGTGTATATTGAAAAAATGAGTAGCTAAAATAGAAAATTTTGCTTTTTGGGTAGCTAAAATAACTACTATTGTTGGAGATGCTCTAAGGTGAGTATGTCACTCGAAGCCATTCTCGACTGGCACATGTTTGACTTGATAAGCTAATGATTTAGCTTCGTAAAACTTGAATAAGGATTAAGGTCGTAGACTTGATAGGCTGGAGTGGGACACTGCCGCTACGACATGTTAGGGTGTGGTTGAATGGACAGCGATGGGCTAAGTTGCATGGCCAATCGCAAGTAGCAAGGTGAAGTTGATAGGTGTCAAACTCCATGGCATAGTGCTTCTAGACAGTGAAAATACCACTCGGAGTGTCACCTTCCCAATGTAGTCGCCAAAGAATGTAGGTGAAGAGTTAAATGGGTTCATACACGTCATTACCAGAGGGCCCAATAGGAGGGTGTGAAGAATGGAGGAGAAGAGGAAGGAGGGGAGAGAGGGGAGAGAGAGGCTGCCTCCTCAAGGCTTAGAGCCTAAGGCTTTACATCCATCCAAAAAATTCATGTCCTTGTGGGAATATAAGGGTATTTATAGAGGAAGTGATAGTGTAGTATACTAAAAGCTTGCTTTTTGTAGTGAAACTGATTTTATTAATTAATACAAGTTTGTTCTTTACATTTTATTGAGAATCTATATGGGTAAAATGTTTGTAGTATATTTAATATATGGTATACATATGTGTCTTATATTTTACATCGTAGATAATCTGGTGTGTAGCGTTTAGCTTATGCACAAAAGACCAAATTATTGGATCCTTATATAATATGTGTATAGGTTCACAATCCTAGATGAAATTGGATACATCATTAGTATAATTGCAGTGTAATATTCTAACATAGTCTGTCTTGACTGTGGGAGACTGTGTGATGTCTCGGATTATTGCACTAACACACTTTATGTATTGAACAGACTCATGTTGAGGTTATTATATTTTACTGATTCAATAAGATAATAAATACTTTATGATTATTATGATTGTTTATGCTCTTAATCTCAAAATATTTAATTGTCATATGCATATAATATTTGTCACTTTAATTCATCAAAGGGTGAGATTCATTTCGAGTCAATAAGCTCGGTAAATTGGAAGACGATGTTATTTATATGGTAAAAATTAATTATTAAAGAAAATCATGTCCTAGTATTTAAATGAATTGATGATGTCCTCTTGAGGAAGTTCATAAGTTTTGTTCGTGTCAAAATCTTGCAGGTGAATTTAATTTTCTGACATGATAAATAAGTTGAGTGCTAAGGTCTCAAAGAATAAAAGAAATCAATTAAATATAATTGTCAGTAATTTATTTAATTTATAGATATCTGTAATCTTAAACGTGAAGAGATTATTAAGCATATAATAATAAAGAGTTCGAATATATTTTTGAGATAAGGTTCAGGAGATCAATAATAAGTTTTTAGTGGACTGATTTATTATTAATGGGTTGTAGGATATTTGTTCTAGATTGAACATAAGAATCCTATACCCATTGGAAGCTCGGTCCTTATTTCTCTTTAGGGTTTATATCGTAGCCTATATATAGATGTCTAGGCTCTCTAATTCAACATATATTCTTTAATCACATTTTTTAGAGAGGCTAAAAGGGAGGGCAGGAGTTTAGAGGTTCTGGCAGCCCACACTGCATCCAGATTTTGACGTTGAGGAATATACAATAGAAGATCGCAAGGTTTGTCGAGCTATTTTTCGTGTTTGTTGTTAGGTTTTGCATTCATGGTGAGACAAGATCAATCTCAAGCAATTTCATAGGTAAACCCTAATTCCGCCTTATAGGAGTTTAAAGGAAAATTTTTAGTATTCGATACATACGCTCTATATTAATTCTTTGGATTTCCATTCCAACAGGAAGGTCACACATGTGTGACCTATGCACATGCGGTGCAAACCAATAAACTGGTAACAAGTGTCTCAAGTATTAATTAGGTGGAACACACTCTATAATGGGACCCTACTGCAGGAATCCTTACCTCGAGACCTTGTTGCAGGAACCTAGTCTCGGGACCCTGATTATGTTTGCTCAAGATCTATTTCACAATCGTATTTATCTTGACACACATATCTCAATTTCTCTTTTCTCATTCTCTCTTTAGATTACAACATTTAGCTAGGAAAATATATCCATAGACCCTAATTATAGTGGGACCCCCACATAGTGGCCCAAGCAAGTGCTTGCCATGATGATATATTGGGTCCTACATAATATTTTTCTCAAGCCAAAACTCTCTCTTGGCCATAAATCATGTATTATGAATTAATTGATTTCTTAGAGACTTGAACTTGGATTCAAATTTTCATTTGATGACAATCTTATAAAGTTCTCAAATGTCGCCCTTTCAAATTTATTTTTAAAATTAACACATAATTTTCAATGTAAAATCTTAAAAAGAGAGTCTTATAAATAACCACATTTTTTAATTGAACCCCCTAAGTTTAAAGCATGCTTTAATAAAATCAAAACAATTTGATAAGTAAATTGAAATCCTACTGAAGTGGGAATCCGGTTGAAAAATTACAATAGAAAATAAAAAGAATCCTTGAATGTAAATGCCTCAAATTGGAGTGAAAGACTATGGTATCTCCACCAGCATCAATCGTAACGAAAATTATAACTTTTTAAAATCAAGTTATATTTTTTAGAGGTGCAAGTCACAACTTATAAAGATTATATTCAATACTTAAATATTGTGATCGATTTTAAAAGTTAGTTATAACTTTTAAAAATCAAGTTACAATTCGTAAATACGAAGTTTAATTGTTCAAAGAAATCTCATGATCGATTATAAAATTTCCTCAATCGGTTGTAATTTCTCCTTTTAAGGTTTAATTTTACCATATAAGAAGTAATAACTTTTAATACTATACATATATTTATTTATTTTTCTCTTTTTTCCATTTTTAACTGTTAGGGGCGGACTAATTTATACATAATTTGATTAATTCTTTGTTCGGTTTGGTTAAAGACAGATTATCCACGTTGGAATTAGGGAGTTCATAAAAAATAAATCTCTCATAACTTAACCTCAAAAAATTATCAAAATTCGAACAACGTTTAAATTTCTAAGTCGCCCATATTACTAATTAATATTTATTTATTTTTAAATACCTTAAAGTTTCCGCAAATTAGGTTGTCTTACTCACTAGGTTTATTGTTAATGATTCAGCTTCCTTCCTAGTTACACATAACAACAACGTAGAACCAGGCATTAGTTGAACACTTTCTTCGTCATCTCACCTGTTACAAAAATAAAGCAATGGGAACTGGCAAAAAACCTATGCAAAGTTCCATAAATGGTGATGATCTTATCTTTTCATAACCATCAATTCATATATATATATATACATACAAAAATCCTAATCATAACACCCCATCAGACGTAACGTTCGAAGTGTATGTGTCACATTTGCCTCAAACAAGACGTCTGATAAAGCTCTTTCCCTTTTCCCTCTGCAACTTCTACCCCCCCCCCCCCCCCCCCCCCCCCCCCCC